TATCTTATTAATAAATATCTTAATAATAAATATAATTATTAAAATCTGAATCTTGTTGATAAATGTCTTAATAATAAATATAACTATTAGAATTTGAATTATAAAAATAAATATTTTAATAATCTTAATGATAATTATAATTTTTTTTGAATATTTAAGTTTTTTTAATTATTTAATAAAAAAGTAATAATACAAATTCATTGTAAAGTAATAATTATAATAAATATTTTTTATATTGAGATAAAGATAAGAGATTTCTTTTCAAATATTTTTTGCTTATACTTATATATATTTAATTTAATATTCATTATTATTATAAATTTTTGTAATTATTTAACTTGCTTCCATTTTAAATATATTATATTGAAGAAATTGCAAATAATAGATAACAAAAATATATTTAATCTTGTTGAACTTAAATATTTTCACTATATTAATTATTTTTTGTAGTTTAAAAATTATTTTTTAAAGTTATTATTTTTATTATAATGATTCTTTTACTAAATTATTTTTATTTTTATAATTTGAACAATTTGATTTATAATTTTTCATTTTTTTATTATTTTGATTTGTATTAATATTATTTATATTACAAAAAATTGCATTATTTTAGAACAATTTTTGAATATTATCTTATTTTGTTTTAATTTTTATTGTTTTATTCAATTAAAATTATCAGTATATCTTTAATATAAATTTTTATTGTGCATTTTATATAAGTTTTTCAAAAAATAATTTTTATCACTTTCTCTTCTTCTAAATTATATATATCAATATTGATTATAAATATATTTTTATCATTATTTAATATATTTATATCTTTATTATTATTTAATATTATATTATTATTTAATATATTTGTATTTTTGTATTTTTATTATTATTATTTTTGTTATTTTAAAAATTATTGAAATTAATAAATTAATAAATAAGAGAATAATAAAAGAATAAAGTCTAAATAATTTATAATTAATAGAATTTACTAAAGATTTTATAGATCTTCTTTAATAACTTATATATAAACTAATTATTAATAATAAAAAATAAAAATAAATAAAAAATTAAAGTAAAAATATAAAAAAAATAAAATTATCAAATAAAAAAACAAATAATAGGATTTATTGATAATATCTAATAAAATAAAATAAAATAACAATTAAATTTATTGAGATTGTTAATTATAAAATATAAATTAAAATAACTAAAATAATTAAATAGAACTTATTAATATAATCTAAAAATAATAAAACTAAAATAAACAAAGATAATAAAATTAATAGCTTATTTAGAATTGAAGAGCATTCATTATTTGTAATTTCAAGATTTAAAGATAATTCATAAAAATAATAATATATTTATAAGTAAATTATTACAAATAAGAATTTTGTTATTTTATTAAATTAAAAAATTAAAGCATGAGAGTTTCTAGTAATAAGAGATTCTTCTTTTATATATTTTTAATCTTTTATATAATTTATATAATTAATAATTATTCTAGATTATATTATTATTTACAAATAATACTAATAATATAAAAGAAGAATAAACAATAAAAAATAAATAAAAAATTATAACAAATTCATTAAAAAGAAAATACAAAAGAAAATTAACTGTAATTTTAGTGATTAAAAATAAGAAAAATCAAGAGTTTGAATAAAAAAAGTGTTATAAAGAAAGAAAACAATAGTATGAACTTGATTATTGATAATTATAACAAAAAAATTAAAAGATAATTATAACAAGAGTGAAAAAAAAGAAAATAAATATAAGAATAATTGGTTAAAAATAATGAAATTAAAGATAAAAATAAGTATAATAGAGATTTAGAGAAAATAACCAATAATAAAAATATAAATTTTAGAGTGAAAATAAAAGAATAAATAAATTTAGTGAAATAGTAAGAGAAAATAAAACAAAAAGTATACAAAAATGTAATTATTATTTAATTTAGATATTAAAAAAATAATGATATATATTAAATATAATTATGTAATGGAATACAATATGTATAAAAATAAAGGAGCAAACTAATTTGATTATCATTGAGTTATATTAAGTTACATCTTAATTTTGTTGATCCAAAAATTAAGTAATTACAAAATTTTTGATGATAATGGTAATACTATTTAATATCACACCATTATTTAATGTATAAAAAATTGATTTTTTTAACTTTTCTTACTTTTTCAGCATTAATACGACATATCAATACATTTTTTTTAAGATAATATTAATTATTATAATGTAAAATTTCAATTAATATAATAGATTTTTATTGGATGGCTTTAGTGTCCCCCACTTGTACATGTATCTGAAATTGATGCTTTTCAGATTCTAGCAAAAACATCAAACAAAATTAAAAGACAAAATATCTTTTTAACACCAACGAGAATTATATCGGAATAAAGCAGCAACGTACGGAAAAAAGGTAATACAAACATAGAAACTAATTTGTTTGTTCAATTACCCTTTCTTATTTTTTTCACCTTATAATATTTTCCAAAATCTTGCAGATTATTATTAAAATCGATTGATAACAAGGTTTAGTGGGAACTTGTTTAGGAGTTCTCTTTATTTTATAGTTTCGGATTGTCAGAGGTGCGTGTTAATTGACAAAAAACGCCGAAATTGGATGATCGACGACTGACGGAAAATAATTTGGTCCGACGAAATTATGTGGTCGGACGGACGAAAATGGCACCGGAGGAAGCCTGGTGAACCATGTTACTCCAACCGTAAAATTTGGCGGCGTTGCAGTTATGGTTTGGGATTGCCTGACTGCCAGCGGAGTTGGTGAACTGAAAAATCGACGGCAGAATGGCGTTGATATCTTGAATAATAATTTGTTGGGTACAGTTTGGGAAAAAATGCTGGAAGATAGTGAATTCATATTCCAGTAAGACAACGACACCGAACATACGTCCAGTAAAGCGAAGCAATGGTTTCTTGATAATGACATTGCTTTACTTGATTGGCCCGCCCAGTCCCCCGACTTAAATCCAATTGAAAATTATGGAACGAAGTTTTATACACGCTTGCGGAATCTTCCTGGCCACTTTAAATAAAAACGATTTGTGGGGAAAGCTACAAGTTGCTTGGAAGAGCACCGAAATTGACTTTTGCGAAATTCGATGCCAGAAAGGGTCAGTGATGTGATACAGGCAGGGGCGGATTTATAGAATGGTAGTCTTAGTTTAGTAATGTATAATTGGAGAAACTCGTCTTTAATTATTGTCCTCCAGATCGGTCACAATAGACGGAACCTAAAAAAATTCAAGTTAGTTTAAATTCAAAAAATAGATGAAAGTAAAATTGGATCAAGTGATTATTATCGTTATTATTTTTAAGGTGCATACCATCTAAAGTCATCAAACGTTTATATTTATAGAATACATAAACATCTTTACTAAGAAGTAAATACAAGATTTGATCCGTGAATATGATAGAATAGGCCTTTTCTGAGTATATTTACTGCTTAATAAAGTTTATACATTTTATAAAATACAAACGTTTGATGACTTAAGATGTTATGCACCATATGAATGAAATTCACTTTCTTTTGTCTCCGATAATTCTTCAATGGCGAGATATTCGAATCTCGCCATTTTTTTTTTGCGTGCTCCGTTTCTTTATTGAGTCACTGTATATAATTGTTGAGTGTTAATCTATCGTATTCAATCTTGTATACACCCATTCCAATTATTATCGTTATTATTCGGTTCTATCCTTGGATTAATAATCTACACAAAATTGGTTAAAAGTTATTATTATATATAAATTTGTAACTTTAATTATGTTTTACAATTTTACTTATAATTATAGTTTATATTTTCTATTAAAAATAAAGATTTATATTAATATAATAAAAGTGAATTAAAATTATATTTATTAAAAATATTTTTTAAATCTATATAACTTTATGAATATTGAATGATTCAAGACGTTCAGAACACAGTTATAGCAAATTAAAGTTGAAAGGAAATAGAGAACTATTGATAACTTTGAGAAATACTTCATGATACAGTAAATACAAAATTTTTTTCTAATTTATTCAAATGATAACCAAACTTTAGCTATATCGATATTTTTCGATCACCTCTTAATATATCAAATAATTTAAAAATAAAAATATAAATAAAATCTATAGTATTTAATCGTAGGTTTTGATTTCCATAAAAAATATTCTAGCATTCAAATTAAAATTATACCATTTTATAATATTAAGCATAGTTTTTTTCTTTTAAGCTTATTCCCATCCTTGCGATTGGCTCGAATCATTCTGACAACAGTGTAAAATGCTCTTACAACATTTACACAATTTTTCGCCGAGCTTTCGATGAACTCACATCCAATTCTTCGAGCCATATTCAGGTTTTCTTCTTGTGAAACTTCCCGCTCAGTAATTTGATCACATTTGTTGCCAACAAGCATCATGGAAATCGACTCGTCATCTTTGTACCAAGCGATTTGATCCCTATATTTACTTATTCTTTCAAATGTAGACAGAGATGAAACTGAGTATACGAGAAGGAAACCTTCACCATCTCTAATCGATTGCTTATGTTTTTGTTCAAGTTCAACCGTATCGAGTACCTCCAAAATTAATGGTTCATCATCAACAACAACTTGCTTTCTATACGAATCTTCAATCGTGGGATCATAAGTCTCAACAAAATGACCCAGACATAATTGAATCGTAAGTGCTGACTTTCCTACACCATTATCGCCAAGTACAACAAGTTTATACGGCTTCATTTGAGAAAAGGATGTTATAATCAATAGGAAAAGGTTGCCGTTACATCTTAACGTTAATACATATACTGTATTATAAACAAAAATTTACACAAAATACATGTATACCGATATATGTATAGTGCATATAAGCAACAAATTACATAACAGTCACAGGACATGTCCCCGTGGTTGATTTTTGATAATAAATTTTTTCATGTAACATGCTATGCTGTAACTTC